AATAGAATAGAATGTGCTAGAATAAATTGGAATATGATAGAATATGGATAGAATATGCTAGAATAGAATAGAATATGAATAGAATATATGTATGCTAAAAAAGAATTGTATACAATAGAATATGAATAGAATATGCTAGAATAGAATAGAATATGAATAAAATATATGTATGCTAGAAAAGAATTGTATACAATAGAATATGAATAGAATATGCTAGAATAGAATAGAATGTGCTAGAATAAATTAGAATATGATAGAATATGAATAGAATATCCTAGAATAAAATATGAATAGAATAGGCTAGAATAAAATAGAATATGCTAGAATAGAATAGAATAGAATAGAGAAAATAGAATAGAATATGGTAGAAGGGGAATATATTTCATATTAACAGATTTGATGCTGCAGAGTTGTTCGTTAGTTTTTAAATTCACTGGTATGGTATGTATTCTGTTGTTATCTTTGCATATTACTGGCTTTAATTTAAAGTACTAGCTATCAGGGACATAAGGAGAAATTAAATCAAGCAAATGATTAGGCCATGAAGAATAGAATAGAATAGAATAGAATAGAATAGAATAGAATAGAATAGAATAGAATAGAATAGAATAGAATAGAATAGAATAGAATAGAATAGAATAGAATAGAATAGAATAGAATAGAATATGTGTATCTCACCATATGCATCATACATTATATCTTCAGATATCTGGTGGTTGGGACAGAAGAATTTGCATATGGGATTTAGAGAAAGGATTGTAAGTGCAAATTTTTACTTAACTTTTATACGTTATACTCTATTTAAAACGCATTTTGTTGTACTAGTGATAACCATTAATATATATTTTAGATTACATGATTGCTTCCGTAATACCAATCCTGGATCGTTTGATAAATTAGAGTTGGCATGTGATGGTATCATTATCGACATGGATTACTCTCCTAAACGGTAAGATATTGACACTTAAAGGGGAACCTTCTAAACCCAGGGATTGCACCAAGGAATCATGAGGATACTATTGTTTATGTTGTTTACAATGTAAATCTATCTTATTGTAATTTTATTCCAGAAAGTAAATTTGTTGCAAGATTAGGCTTAACTGGAGATGCCCCTTTAAGACTTATGTAGCATATAGTGAGTGGAATGCTGCATGAATTCTAGGCTGAAGTATAAGCCATATGGTTTTAAAAGTAATGCAAACTTAGGTCTGTGCATAGTAATGACGTAATTTGCATAATCATTAGTTGGCTTTTCCACTGATATCTTGAGTACTAATATTCTCATTACAAAGAAACGTTGTACATAAACACTCTATGACATTGCACAAAACTGATTAGTTTTACTTTGAAATCTATGCGTATTAATGACCTAATTTGCATAATCATAAGTTGGCATTTCCACTGATATCTTAAGTACTAGGTTTCACATTACAAAGAAACTTGGTACATAGATACTCTATGACATTGCACAAAACTGATTAGTTGTACTTTGAAATCTATGCATATTAATGACCTAATTTGCATAATCATAAGTTGGCATTTCCACTGATATCTTAAGTACTAGTTTTCACATTACAAAAAACTTGGTACATAGATACTCTATGACAAAACTTATTCAGATTAATGACCTAATTAGTTTCAAGCTTTTCCGTTGATATCTCAAGTACTAATCATCATTTTGATTAATCTTACCGGTAGTACATAAATGATCTAAAACAATGCCATGACTTAAGGGGTTAGCATACGCTCGCTGGTTCAATTTTTTGGCTTCAATTTACAGACTGAAACATACATTTTACCCATACATGTTATATACCATAATAATGATCTTGTTTTAAACTTTGGAAATATGGCAATTTTTTTAAATTATGCAAATACCAAGTCACGTGATCACAAGAATACGCGAAAATGGAGTAAAACGGCTAATGACGCAATTAATAATTAATTTACAGCACGACTGAATATATTTTTTTATGTAGATATTAGAGGGGTGCTTCATGTACAATGTTCTTCGTTTTTTTGCAACTATAATTTGTTTTTATGTAGCCTTATTTCAAATGTTTGGACGTTAATACCTGAGTAAAAACAACACGTCTCTGTATAAAAATAAGCAAAAAATCAAAACGAAGGCAGACAGAGTTTAAATATATCCATATTAATTGCCTAATTTAAATTAAAGTGGCTTTTCCGCTGCTTTTTTAAGAATTAACATTCTAATGACAGGTAGTATAGATAACCCTAGGAACAGTCCTGAAGACCTGATTAGTTTGGACTTGAAATTGGAACATACTAATTTGTATACATTGTAACATGCATAATATCTAATGTTAGTCAACAAGCTTCAACTACCGGTACTTATATTGTTTACTTTCTACATGCTTACTGTTTCTGTTTTCCAGCAATGAGTTTGCCTATGCCTCCAGTGACAAAATGGTTTATATTCGTAAGTTTAGCGAAGATGGACGAAAGATGACACTATGTAATACACTGCAGGGCCATTATGGCGAAATCACGCAAGTCAGATGGAATCCCATAAAAAACACTTGGATTACAGGTTCTGAGGATGGTACCATTAGAATATGGGTAAGTCAGCAGTGTGTATCCAGTGTTAAGTGTAAAATAATTATTGCTTAAGTACTGTAAATGCATCAATTATTCACTGGGTTTTAATTTATCTGTTTTCGCTAATAAGTAAAATCAGCTAAATTAAAGCTATGTGAACAAGTAAAATAACAATAGAACTTATTGTTTCACTGGCAAATTTGTGAACTTAAAACCCAGTGAATATGCTGAGAACATAAAAACACATCTTCGCCAGCTAAAAACCATTTATTCGGCAGAAGCCTCAACATTAACCCTTGGCAGATTTCATCACGATTTACTGAATGTCACACGCCTTAAAACGATTATAAGCTTTACTTCGGATCATTTTCATCACCCAATCATGAAAGAAACACATTACTTGGTAAAATTAAAATGGCGGAATCAAATAAACGTGTTGCTTGCTTTTTCTCTGAACGAACTTACTGATCATCAAAAGAAAGCGCTTAGTGCTGTATCTGAGGAAAATGACGTGTTTGTTGCAAACACAGTCCCTGGACTGTGTTGCAACGAAGACCAAATCGGGCAAGTTATCAGTTTCAACAGTTTTGTCAGTTTACTAAATCATAGTTTGCACAAATATTTAGACATTACATCGTCCTCATTCATTTGCCCACAAACAATTTTCAAAGTTGGAATAATAAATTTTGGAAACGTGTCAACAAATATAGACCTGTTCTTGAATCGCGCGAAGCCTACAGGCCGCCATTGTTTTAATCTGTGATGAGCTCCCCGATCTTCACATTTATGATACGGCATCTCTGTTTGGTGGCGCAAGCTCTTTGTTGCGCCCAATCAGATTGACTCAATTTAGCTGCAATTTTATACAGCTTTTTCTAACGCGATTACGCACAGGTACGTGGGCCGGTTTTGAATGACCGGCTTTAGCGACACCATGCGATTTTAACGATGATCAAAATAGTGAAATTCAATGTATGAGATGAATCGATAAATATGTTATTACTATTTTTATATTGTCCCTCAGTCCTTTTCCAATATTAAAATGTAATTAATTTCATATTTACATTGTTGATTTCTTTCCAGTCAGAGGACGGTATGAATTGTGAGCAGGTATTAGCAACTCATGGCACTGTGACTGCACTTTGTATTGATAATATAAATGGTGCAATCATTGCAGGTGTTGGCAACAATGTCAAGTAAGTGGTGTTGTAACTCTAGTTCATTCTTGTGTTACCCTGACAACAGCAAAGTGTAACAAAAGTTTTTTTAATGATTCATGATCATTTTTCCAATTTTATGTTTAGATTGTGAGGACATTTTTTTCATCACCTGATCAGTGACAATCAATATCTGTTTTACAAACTGCATGAAAATAATGAACTTTAATAATTGGTTAAACGACGGTAGTCGTTGCGCCACGCATGCATGAGATACATGGGTCTTATATAAACCATAATATAAACAAATATGGCTACTTTGATCAACGAGTACAGACTCAGACGTTACCGTGATTTAATGAGGTATTTTTAGGTGATTGGAAGGTATCGAAGGAGTGACCATTGGTAATTAGTGCGCCCAGGTTAAACCCTCATGCTTGTGATTTCCATTAGAAGATCGCAATGGATTGTGGGTAAATCAATGTTTATCAACACAAATGTACGATGATTCTCGGCCTTTAACGTTGTACATGCGCAGCGCGACGACCACCGCCCTTTAAGGTAGAAGACTATTCATAATTTTTATGAAAACTTTGCTTGACAATGTTCATTGTTTTATTATGTACAATCACAGAGACACTGTCCTATAGGACAATGAAATAGCATTTCTTTGTGTTACAGTGACTTATTATATAATATATCTTTTTCAAAATTGCTATTTTTAGAGCAATTAAATCAAAGAAAGTGTTAAGGTAGCGAGAAGGGAAATTTTCACTTTTTTCTTGATTATTCAAAAATTGATAAAACGGTTACTTTAGACCTTGATACATCACCCCAGGTTTACAAAAGATCAAAATTGCGAAATAACGTTGCTCAAATTAGTGTTTTAAAACACTTGAT